ATACAATCATTAAAAAGCAGATAACATAAAATGCCAGAAATGCTTTTAACATTACATGAAGTGCACTACTTGCCTAAATAGCTTGCTACTTTTGGAGATCTAGATATGCTGAGGTATTAAATATTAAAATAGAGGTTGCTTTTTAAAATGCAGTGTTTCTTATCAGAAAAACAGTTTGAACAAGCACTGCTGTTGTATAATGCATGATGTTGCTAATAAGAGAGACTTGGAAAATCATTTTTTACGCTGTAAGAATGACTAGTATTTTGAATAAGAAAGATGCTTTCTCTGTTCATGTTCTCTTAACACATATATAACAGTGCTGTCAACCTGCTTGTGATTATAAATTTTCAATACAGTCTCAGTCACACGAGGTCTGTTCTGAGCTTCTATCATATTTTTGTATATTTACTGTTTGTCCGCTCTGCTAGCAGATTATACATAACCTTGACTGGAAAGTGATACTCAAAGAGCAATTATCAATGTTTCAGTGTGGATTTAGATAAATTTATTGGAGGGGTTCTGCAGGGTCTGCTCTATGTCTAGTATTATTTAATATTCACAGTATTGATTAGGATGAGATAATATGAACTGCACTTATTAAATTTTCAGATAACACGAAGCTAGTCACTGTTATAACTGCAACATTAAAAGATAAGATTAGAATTCCAATGATTCTGTTCTATTGGAGAAATCACTGGGAAAAAGTAGGATGTAATTCAGTAACTATAAATGAAAAGTTTTACATTTGGAGAAAATACAGGTTAACTACAGGCTGAGGAATGATTGATAATACAACATTTGAAAGAGAAATTTTCTGTAGTCCCAATGCATTAGAAATTGAGCGTAAGTCATAAATGATATGATTGTGTCAAAAAGCAAAGTATATAGTGGGATAGATAAACACGAGTATTATCTGAAAGATATATAAAGATACTCAGATACAGGGGTATTTTGTCCAGGTTTGGTCACAACCGAGAAAGAGCAATTGTAGATGGTCCAGACAGAGTAATAAGAATAAGCAGAGGAAATAAACTCTGAGGAAAGGTGGAGGAAGCTAAAGTTTTTCAGTTAATAAAACATCTTAAAGCATGTAAAAGGTAGCTATTAAAAACAAAAAAAACCCCATGAAATACTGTGTTCTCCAGGTTTGTGTCAAAAGAAGTGGGCGTTAAACGTAATGACAAAAATGTCTAGCGTTAAGGCTAGTGAAGCACTGGAGTGGGTTACCTAGGGATAATTCAAGAGCAGGTTAGATAAAATTATTTCAGTAACAGCAAAAACACTGAGGAGTGTTAGATGACCTAGAGCTCTGTATTTTATTCTGAGAGAGGTTTCCTTGGAGGAAACAGCAGTGCTCGTCCTTCCCAGATGCCAATTTCCATCCTGCAAAAAATAGGATCTCTCTTCACGATGGAGCTGGGATTGATTAGAGCTCCCAAAGCCAAGAGCTTGGAAGTGAATAATATATCTAATTTTGTCATAATGTAAATTATGTTTTAGTGAGAACTAAATGGTGCTGCTGTGGAGGCTTTGTCATGTGACTGTATTTTTATTCAGGTGGACAGAGTAGCACACCTTTTACTTATGTGAGTGTTTCTTTTAAACAAATCTCCAAGATACTGGAAGATTTTCAGACCAAACGAGGCATGGGAAGCAGATGGGAATAACATACTTGTTCTTGAGTTCTTAAGGCTATTTGTGAAAGCCTATTTCATGCTGGTTGGTAGGTTTGGTTTGTGTCTTGGTGATAGCATGCAGTGGTATGGCTTAAGATTAAGTCCAATAATGTTTTCACTCAACATTACAGTTTAAGTGGTCACTATTATGGGAAAGTGAGAGGCTTCAGATAATGCCGTATGATAACATGAAGCTGAACAACTTGAGAGGAATGGACATCTGACTGGAAGGACTTGGATTCAGGTTTTGCCCTTGCCACTGACTTTGAGCAAATCACTTCATCTCTTTCTTCCTTTCCCCTTGCTCCCATTTGCCTCATGTAAACAAATTCTTTGGCAAGGAGTGCAAGGAGTGCCTCTCACTATGTATTTAATAAAATGGCCACCCCCGTTCCATTGGGGACTTCAAAGCACTATTATTATTTAATAATAACGACAGTATACGACAAAAAAGGGAAGGTTGTAGACAGGGTTCATACGCACATCACACATCTAGTCTGGTCAAACACATCAGACACTGCAGTGGAAGATTAGTACCAGTGCAGACAGAATCTGCTTTGCTGCTTACTGCCTTTGAAATATTAATATTCTTCATTTACTGTGTTATTCACAGCAGCAACAATAAAAGGGATTGAGTAAAAATTTTCATAATAGTCACTCTAGTAGTCTGCTTATATTCCTTGCATCATCCCCATCCTGCTGTCTTTCATCTCTTCCAGTATTATAAAACTCCTTTGCAATAGGTCTTTTTTAAGAGATATACTTAATGCTACAAATATTAATATTTTGTGTGGCACATTGTATATGATAGCTTGAAGAAGACAGACATATTATTCCCAGACCATCTGCATGGAGGCTTATAGTCACTCTACCTCTTCCGTGTATTTTTGTTGTCTTTGAGTCAGAAGTTGATATTAAAGTGTACAATTCATATTAAATATAAACTTAACAGTAATCCATTAGTTGCAAGCACAGGAGGTGAAATTTTTGGCTGCTCATGAAAAGGATTAGGTTCCTTGAGACAATTTTTGGGTAGCAGAGTTCCCTCAGTGTCAGGCAGAACAGATCTTCTGAATTATTTCAGCAGACTGATGCCTCCGGCCTAATCAGTTTTTGCTAATTTAAGTTGCCTGCTCTGCAGCCTAGTGTGAATCACAGCCAGGATTGTCAGATTTCACCAACATATAAGACTATGTGGGAATCAGAAGTATTTTGGATTCCAGTGTGTCCTTGACCAGGCTTGAAATGGAAAGCATTACAAAGTGTGACAAATGAACTATTCAAGAGGAAAATTAACACTTTAAAACTATATGAACCTTTTAGGAGAAAAGGTCTAGTTAGTGGTAACTGAAGTATAGCAAAAAAGTAAATAAAAAGACATCTCTTAGCTTTTTGCACAAGTAGTTTTGGGGGAGCTTTCTCCTCTCCCCAAAGAATAAATTCTGACTTTCGGTACTTGCTTGTAAATTATTCATTCTGTCTTCATTTGTTTAAGTCTAGAAATGAGGAATCATGGTACATGGAGTGCTGGTGACTGGAAAGCCTGAGATCTTCACTAAGTCTTGGTCCAGTGTTTCCTACAGCTAATACCTCAGCACCTGCAGATCGAAAATCTTTTCTAGGTCTAGTTTCTCCTGCAGTCTTCTGTCTGCTCATGATTTCTCATGAAGAAGCTAGAGAAGACAGAGAGGCTCTCATGAAGAGAGGCTTAGACTAACTTTTCTGAGTTCAATGAAAAAAGCAATGACTGAAGAAAGCCAGACTTGGCTATGCTTGGGATACTGAGCAGTAGCATATTCCCTAAATAGGCCCATTGACTCTGAATTCAATAGAACTGTTTCAATGTGGTGATGAATCAATATGTCTGGATATAGATCATAACCAGACATCGGAAACTGGCTATTTTCTTAGCAGGAAATATACTTTTATAACATTGTAATGTTAGTTTTAAGCTTAGGATGCTGCTATGAGATTTTTGTAGAATGATCTCACAAAATGTTTTAGTGATTGATAGTTTCAATTATTCTAAAACAGTTGAATGTATTATTCTTTCTCAGTAAGATTTTTCTGTTACATTTCTCAAGGTTAGTGTTTACTTGCTGTGACAGCCACGCACTATAGATTGTATCAACTTACTGCTTTTACATTCGGATCAAATGTCAGTGGTTTGAATGGCCTTTTGTATCTTGCAGTCACTATGCTTTAGACCCTAATTTAAGTGGCTGAAAGTTCAGTGTCCAAGCTTGAACTCCCAGCTTCCCTTTATAGTCATTGAAGAGATACAGGTATTTCCAGAGAGCAGTTCATTTCATCCTAAAATAGGTATCTACATGGGTCAAAAAAATTTCCCTGTGGTGAAGTCTGTATTTCTCTGTCATTGTAGACTTCGTAATACTCAGATTCATGCATCTAACTTGTACATATCTGAAAGCAGAGGAGATTAATCTCATCTCATCAGGCAATCAGTTTTACAAATACGAAAATATTTGTTTAAAAGAAAAGCATTATGGGACTTTCAGATGTATTGCTTGATAAATTTCATAAGTGGTTGGCTGAGTTACCAGTGAGATCTGTTTATCACATATCCCGAGCGGAGAGCAGCCTGCAATATTCAACAGCTGAGAAACATTTTGATTTCCTGTTTTAAAGTATCGTTAAGTCACTTATTCCCAAGGTGATGTTGTATGCCTGTGGTGGTGAAAATGATACCGATATTCTTCATAGCCAATTTCAGGAAGTGAGAAATGTATACCTTTGTTTCTTATCAACAAAGGAAGTAGGATTTGCTTTTCTGCTGTCTTTCAGCTGCTAGTCATTCACATGTATGCCAAGAACAAAACTTTAGCAAGTCAAAATAGTTGGCTCTATGTGATTCAGATTTGTTAAATCTCACCCACTGAACAGGAGGTTCCTGTCCTTCTCCTCTGATTCCTGTCTCATGCTTCTTGCCTGCAGTACCTGTATATTTGCTCTACAGTGCTGCGGCCTCGCTCTTCCATGAATCCCTGTGCAAGAAGTGCTGCTCAGCTTGCTCTCAGATCTCTTGGCCAGCTGCATATGTGATACGGGATCAGGAAACAAGTCAAGTACTGACAATGTAGTGCTGCTGCCAAGGCAGTTCTTGCAGCCTGGTCTTGCTCCAAAGGACTCTGTTAGAAGGCATTTTCCCTCTCCACAGCCTTGCGTGCAGTCATGTAGCTGTCATGCGATAACATGTAATATAACATCTATAACGTGTAATCTGAAGGCTTCTATAATAGTGTAGGAGAAAGCTGAGAAATATGTACGTTTGTCTTTATTTCAGAGGTGCAAAGGGGAACAGAAGCAGCAAAGTCTTGTCACACAGATCCAACCAATTTTGTGAGGTTTCATAGCAAAACTGATATCAGGTAAAACTGAAACAAAATTCATTGATTCTCCAGTAAACAGCGCATTTAATGTATCCTAGCACATGTAAATATCAGTAAGTGGCTAAAAGAGGCACTTTTTGAGGTATGACAACAGAAGATTAAAAAAAAGAGAGAGAGAGAAAGGAAAGAGAAATGATTACCCCTTAATCCAAAGCAAATCTACTGCATAACTATTAAGACCTGAAAACAAACTGTAAGAAAGACAAATCAATGAAGCCACTGCCTGTCCCTTTCAGGGAACGGAATCTACCCACAAGAAGATTTTCTTTTCCTGTATGTATTCAGTTCAAAAAAAGAAATAAATGGGAGATTCGAATAATGGAAGAATCTGCATATTCATCACTTCTACGGAAATGAAATTTGCTATGCGAACATGATAAGAGTTGCATTTTAGTAACATTGATAAGTGAATGTCAAAGCATACATTTTTAGGAGACAATCTGGTTACTTTGGCAACTCAAGCATTATTAGTCACTTCTGATAAGGCATCCTTCTTTCATTACCACCTGTGGCCTTTGTCACTCTGTTTCCTAGTAACATCAAATTGTTTTGATGGAAAGTAATTAATTTATTCTGTTGTAACAAGACTATACATAAATTTGATCGCTCTTTATTGTTTTTCTCAAGGTAGCATAACAGAATTTAACAGAAAGCTTTGTTTGCTTTCTTTTTATTCCTAGCCAAACCTGAGAGAATTACACTAAATTACAGAGGCATCTATATATTCGAGCCCATTAAAATAATATAATTAGGTTTAAAAAATGCCAATTAGGATTGCTGCTTTAGATCAGGCGATATTTGATTAACAAGAGGAAAAAATAGCCTTGAGTTATAATAAGATATAAATGGCTATTGTGATAGTATAGGGAAAACTGCAACAATTTAGAGATACAGAGTTTATTAAAACCTTTCAAAATATAATTGTGAATGATTTCTGTTGTGAGTTTCCTTGATTTATTTAACCGTCTTTTAAAGTCTTGATAGTCCTAACTCAGTTAAAGCACTGACTTTTTAAAAGTTTTGTTCAAGGAACGTTGTTAGGTTTTATCCAGATGATTACCCATGTTAAGAGACATACACATTCGTATGTACATATGTATGTGCTACATACAGTATTTTTCAGGCTAAAAGATGCTGGTGCTTTGTCTAGCATGGGAAAGGAGGCAAGATAGGGAAGTTGTATTGCTGGTGGCAGCGACAACTCCCTGAATTCAGTTACTGATTACTTTAATATATTACATAATTGCAGAATGGTTGAAGTCATAACCTCTGGAGAGGTCCAACCCTGAGTCTGACCACCCTGCTCAAAGAGAGGTTTCTCAGGACTTTATCCGGTTGAGTTTTGACTATCCCAAGGAATGGAGACTCCACAACCTCTCTGGGCAACCTGTTCCAGTGTTTGATTGCCCTTACATTTAAAAAGTTTTTTCTTATGTTTAAACCACATTTTCTGTATTTCAGTTTGTGCCCATTGCCTCTTATCCAGATGCTGGCCAGCACACAGAAGAGTCTGACCCTGTCTTCTTTACTCTCCGTCCCATCGGATATTTATACACATTGGATCCCCCCTGAGCTTTCTTTTCTCCAGGCTAAACAGTCCTAGCTCTCTCAACCTCTCCTTGTATGAGATTCTGCAATCCCATCATCATCTTTGTGGCCCTTTGCTGGACTCACTCCAGCAGGTCTGTTTCTTTCTTGTACGGGAGAGCCCAGAACTGGACCCAGCACTCCGGATGTGACCTCACCAGGACTGAGTAGAGGGGAAGGGTTACCTCCCTCAATCTGCCAGCAACGCTGTTTGTCATGTAGTCCAGGGTACTGTTGGCCTTTTTTGCCATAAGGGCACATGTGCTGGCTCACATCCAACTTGTTGTCCACCAGGACCTCCAGGTTGTTATTCTTCTCTGAAAACCTGCTCTCCAGCTGGTCAGCCCCCAGCCTGTACTGATGCCTGGGGTTATTCCTCCAGAAGGGCAGGACTTTGCACTTCCTTTTGTTGAACTTCATTAGGTTCCCATAGGCCCATTTCTCCAGCCTGTCAAGGCCCATCCAAATAGCAGCTCAACCATCTGATGCACCAGCCTCTCCTCCCAGCTTTGTGTCCTCTGCACACATGCTTAGGGTGCACTCTGTCCCATCATTTAGGTCATTAATGAAGATATTAAACAACATTGGCCCCTGAAGGACACCACAAATGACTGGCCTCCTGCTGGACTTGGTGCTGTTTATCACAGCCCTCGGAGTCTGGCAGTTCAGCCAGGTTTCAGTCCAACTCACTGTGCACTTATCTAGCCCATATTTCATCAGTTTGTCTGTAGGTATGTTATGGGAGACAGTGTCGATGCGCTTACGGAAGTGGAGACAACATCTTCTGCTCTCCTCTCATCCACCACGCTAGTCCTTTCATCAATCTGTTCAGGAATAGTTTGCCCTTTGTAAATCCATGCTGGCTGCTCCCAATGATCTTTTTGTCTTCTTTCATATTTTTGGAAATGGGATCCAAGATCAGTTGCTCCATCACCTTCCCAGGGGCTGAGGTGAGGCTGACTGGCCTGCAGTTCCCTGGATCCTCCTTCTTGACCTTGTTGAAGTTTAGAGCGACATTTGCTTTCTTCCAATCCTCAGGAACCTCTCCCAACCACCATGACCTTTCAAAGATGATCAAAAGTGGCCTCGCAATGGTATTGGCCAGCTCCCTCAGCACTCAGGGGTGCATCCCATCTGGTCTCATGGGCCTCTGCATGTCCAGTTTGTTTAAGTGTTCCCTAATGTGATTCTCCTCCACTGAGAGTGAGTCCTCCTTGCTCTCTACTTTCCCCAGGTCTCAGGGACCTGATATTCCTGAAAGCGGATCTTACAGGTGTAGTGCGAGGTGAAACAGGCATTGAGTTCTGTGGCCTTTTCCGTGTCCTTTGTCGCTAAGTTCCCTGTGCAGTTCAGCAGCCAGCCCACATTTCCCCTCATCTTCCTTTTGCTGTTGATACGTATAGTATCATCACATAATGTCATAACATAATATAAGGCCCGATAAGAAAAGGAAACCCTAAAAATCACTGTGGAGAGTGGAAGTGAGCAGTTTTCTAGCTCTTAGATTCTTGTGCTATGCACGTAGCTGTAGTCATTCCGTATCCTTGGAATGTGACCTCCTCGCTCTTGAAAATGGACGTCATGGAGGGAGCTGCTAGTTGTTTAGACCGATGTTGTTGGAAACTGAGTGGTTTTGGCACCTATTGTATGACATCATATTTCCCAGGTACAGGTGCAGGTGTGCAAAATGACAGAAAGTGTAACGCCATGTATTCTGACAGTTGGTATGTAAGTAATATTTACTAAAAGAAATTTAAATTTAAATAGGCATAATTCAATTTGAAATGAGGAAACAGCAACTGACTGTCAGTCAATGCATTGCAGACCGTTGCGTATTATACTTATGAAAAACACAGAAGAGAAACTGTGTTTATGTAAAGGAATCTAAGTTTGCATTCCTGACTAGTGCTACAATGTGTTTGAGTTCTGGCTGGATCAATCCCATTGAAATCCCATCAAAGAGCACAAGCAAAAAGCAATTTACAGAGAGATGAGAGGAATACTTTTTCAACTGCTCTAACTGAAAGCAGAGAATTAGAGAAAGTTTTCTGTTGCATTTCTGACAGATTTATTAAGTACTTTCGGTTCTTCATTTGTTGCAGACAGTAGGAACTTCTGAATATGTTCTCTTACATAAGAAAAGATTCTGTTACAATGCTGTCAAAATATTTTCCATTTTATGATGTTGCCTAAATCTGTTTTTTAGCAGTCACACTTTTTTTTGTAGAAATATAGTTACCAGAAAGTCCTGCATAATCACGACATTTTCCAATCGACCCTTCATTTTTATTAACACTTGGTGATTTTATTTTACTGCCTTGAAATGTAACAGTAAGTTCAACTTGAGGACTTCTATTTGCTGAATGTTGATACTGATTGCACTGGCTGTTTTTGATGATGCACTCTAGTTCTCAAAGATTGCAGTAGATTAGAAAACTTCACCTGGGGTATTCTTTGAACATTCTACGTAAACTTGGATCCTCTATGCAGTTCTCTGTAAGGCAGTGGGACAGGGTAGAGTAAGAGCTGTTACAGAAAGCGCCATTGAGTAGCATTCGTTGTTAAGTAACATTCATTGTTTCATTTCCATGATGAAATAGCTTCCTGAAGCCAGATTATGAATTTCGATAATGTTTTACCACTTTTTCTGTTTAGCAATGTAAACAGAAACTCTCTATGTTCTTTGGAAGTAATGGAGGGAAACAGATAGTTTTATATTACAGTGTAGGCATGAAGTGATTGTTTTCCATTATGAGCTTTATTCCCCATTGGTGACAGCTAGGAATATATTACCAGCATCATTTATAAAATTTACTTATTTCTTTTTTAAAAAACATTTCCTATAATTAGATATTTCTTGTATTAGACTGTTGTTGCAACCCAACTGGAAGGAAAGTTAATGTGACTTGGGTACAAATGTTTCACAATATTTGCAGAAAACAAAAACACTGCAATTTTAATTTTTTCAGCAATTATTCCCTTCATACACAGAATATAATATATAATTCTAGTCAAAATTTGCTCAAACTGAAAATGTTAAAATATTAAATAAGTTGTAACTTATTCAGAGCAAAAAAAAAAAACCATGAATTTTCTGTTGATCAATCTTGACTGTTTCCTTTGAGAAGAACATAATGTCTTCATGACCATAGAAAAGGACAAAACTTATCAAATAAATTATTTATAAAAAGTGATTGCCCATCTGTAGTGACATCACGGAGAGTAACAGTCTCCTCTTACATTATGACTGTTCAGGCCAAACCTAATCCAAAAGTGCATTAATATTTGAATTTGATATTCTGAAGCAATTGAGTCAGCACTAGGAAGTTTAATGGCAACAAGAATTTTAGACCTTGATCCTGCTATCTTGTCCTTAGAAATAGGCTCTTGCG